AGGGCAGCCTTCAAGCTGATGGGAGACAGAGCTACAACATTTTAGCTCCAGGCAAGCAGGGCATGGAGCCATGGACACACTGCCAGTGGCCACACTGTGCTGGGGCAGTGCCACGGGTGTCACTGTGCTGGGGCAGGTACAGACCTTGCTTGGGCACCAAAACCCTTCTCACACAGCCCCAGTCACTGTGCTGGGGCAGGTACAGACCTTGTTTGGGCACCAAAACCCTTCTCACACAGCCCCAGTCACTGTGCTGGGGCAGGTACAGACCTTGCTTGGGCACCAAAACCCTCCCCACAGAGCCACAGTCACTGTGCTGGGGCAGGTACAGACCTTCCTTGGGCACCAAAACCCTCCCCACACAGCCCCAGCAGGTGCTGCAGGTGTGGCTGTCCTGCCCTGCTCTAGGGTAGCCACTCTCTGCCTGTGGATGGCAAATCTGGGAGTGTTCCTCTTCCCTCTCTGCACCCAGTGTTGGTCTCACATTGCTGAGTCTCAGCCCTGCTGGTGCAGAAGGTCTTCCTCCTGTTTTTCTGGTGCAAAAAAAAAATATCAAAGCTGCCTATCCAACCCAGAGGGGAACTGGATAAACCCAGAACATCTTGTCTGACTCCTGCAGGAGCCACTCTGCTGGCAAAGCTGCTGTGCTGGGGAAATGATGATGCAGAACGATTTTTGTTTTTTTTAAAATTTTATATATTTTCTGTACATGTATTTGTAGCTCTGTGGCCTATTGTATCTGTGGCTAGTTTTCCCAGTACTTTTCCCTAGGCAGAAGGACAAAACACATTCCAAGACCCCAGTCCTATATTGGTTCTCTCTGGAAAGCAAGGCTGAAAAACAGCTCTTCAAGACACATTTTCATAAACAAAGTTTAGTTTCCATCTGAAGGGGGAGGACGGTTGAACTGGGGGAAATTGCATCACCTCCTGTGCTCCTAGTTGGTGATTTTTGTCAATTATGCTAATTTGCTAAACTTATAACACTGCATTCACCCCATGGGGTGGTGGGCATTTTGTGAACATTTTTCCATATCTTCCTCTGGAGACCTCCAATAAAGACCAACCTTTATATTACCTCCTATACTAATATTTTATCAAAAGTGTGCTGTTTTATTTCTAGGTTCCTTAAGGCATCACTGGTAAGCCCCACCAGCACCACAACTGCCAGCAAAGGGAAACTGCCTATGGCCTAACTCAGTGCTGTCACAGGCTGATGTAGAATGGCACAGGAAAAAGTGCTTACCTTCTGGAATCAACACTGTTTTTATTTTTACTTTTCCCTGCTACCCCTGCCATCAGGAATCTCGTACACTTACCTATTCATCTTCCAAAAAAAGAGCCCTTGCTAAAAGAACAACTTGGAATAATGCACCAGGAAAGAAAAAAAAGCGGCTAAAACACTGGATGTGGCAGCTGTCTTTCATATTTTTCCTTTAAAGACAGGTTACATGAGTGTCCCTTACTTAATGACAAAGATTTTTCTCTGCCCAAGCTGATGCTCTCCCACTCCTGACAGCAGTCAGCTCACATCCATGGCACAGGAAAAACAGATACACAAAGCCAAGGTTATGGGCAAAAAGCCTGAACATCAAAAGAAAGGAATCCCAGAAGTTTCTAAGCTTGTTCCTCTGACAGTATTGACTATATTTTTTTTTCCTCTTTGTGGTTGCTAGAACTGATGATCTCAAAGGCTGAGAACAAAGCTTAGAAAAATGAGACTCACAGAAACAAACACTTTTAAAAGTTGCCAAATCTCTTTGAGTTCCAGAGGGAAAAAGAGAGAAATATGACTGCAAGCTGCCAGTGCACCTGACAAATACCCAGGTTAGCTCTGGGAAAAGCTCATTGAGGTAACTCTGATGGGTACTGGTTAAAGACCAGGATTTCATCAGTTTGCAAAAGCCACAAAGAGTGCCAAATTTGGCTCGAGGAGAGGGAGGGATGCTCACAGGAACCCTTCCCCTGGCAGGGATGTTACAGTCAGACCTTCATGGGATGGGCAGAGCTGGGGAGAAAAGAGAAGTTGTGTCTTTAGCAGGTGTAGCAGCTTCAGAGAAGGATGTTTGCCCATGGCCTGGGGTGCAGAATGGTTTCATTTTGTTTGTGAACACAGAAATAATATTGTCTCACCTTGGCAACAGCAATTTCACTGAAAAAGAAAGCTGTTCCTGCTAGGAAATACCAGCCTTCACTTGCTGCTGTCAAATTCTGCTCCGCACTTCACTACAGCTCACCCAGAGCAACTGCTGGGCAAACACACAGCAAGGTTAATGCAAGGCAGTGACTGCTCATGGATTGGCTGTGGTCAGACAGGGAATTCTTCCATTCCAAAATGTACCTATGGATGACTTTTTTTTAGACCTTATTCAGCCTGTGCATTGCCTTACAAATTCATTTTGCATTCCTGATGGAACACCAGTTTGAAGCTGCTGCAACTGGGCAGTGGTGTGCTGCTGCTTGGATTTTTTGGCTCTGTATAGCTCTGAACAAGCATATAGCTAAAAAAGGGAATTTAAGTGGGGTTATCCAGAAATGTTTCCCAATATTTGCTTTCAATCTGTAATTTCCATAACTGTGTCCCCATTTTTCCATGCCCAAGTAGGTCAGGCAAAAGGCAGGTGTTGAAAATTCCTCCCCTTGCTCCAGCTAGTGCAGGAAACCTGGAGGCTACGAACGGGCTGAGGATTCCCTTGACCTGATCTTCACACAGGGTGAGAGTCCTAACTCAGGACTGCCTCAGCCAGCACAGGGCACGAAAAATAACTCATTTGGAAACCCAACACTTCCAGGTTTTAGCTCTTAACTTATTCTCTGAGGAGTCAGTGCTGCAGAAGGAGGCACTCCCCGAAGCAGGGCTGCTCTCCAGGCACGCGGGCGCGCACGAGGCTACGGGAGTGCGTGGGCAACGCACGCCCTGTCATCCCAGGACACGTCTGCAGGGGAAAGTGAGGGGTGTTTCAGGTCTACCACTATGAGTGTGAGTCAGTGGGAATAAATTACAGCATGCTACACCCTCTGAAGGCTCTAATCCAGCCATGAGGTGTCCTCAGAAGAGGGTAAAACCTACTGTGATCTCTCGGATCAGAGCGTTCACACCAGGGTTTAACCCTGCCAGATGCCAGCTTCTGCCAATCTCTTATAAAATCCCTGGCCATCCCCACCGAGGGAGGCTTCTTGTCCTTCCTTGCTGCCCTGTGGTCTAGAAACATGGGATCTTAGGGCCTTTTTGCCATTTTCCTTGCTAAACCCATCATCCAGTAGCTCTTGTGTGGATGCAGCATGTTAGAGCTGATTTGGCTTCTGGTGTCTGAACCTGCCCACGTTGCTCTGCCCTGGAAAAGACCTTCTTAACCTTGAGGGATGCCAGGATTTTTTTTTTAATAGTTTTCCCAGTTGTCTGATTATCCCTTACTCTTTTTTTCTTTTTTTTTAAATATTCCCGTCTCTGACTTTTGGCTCTTGTGTGATGCTGGGTTTTAAGGAGCAGGAAAGACCAAAGGTTGAATTCCTTTCACTCTGCTCCTTCTCCCCAGAATCCAAGCTGCTGGGAAAGCACACCAGAGAATTCTGGTGGTCCTGTCAGACACTGTGGGACCCAAAGCCCCCTCCACTGAGCTGCAGTGGAGGCAGAATGTCCCTGCAGAGGACCTGGAGAAATGAAAAGCCTTTTGCTCCAAGTTAATTATTTATAAACTCTGTTGGCTGAGTATGCAACCTCTCTCAGCCAGCTCTGTCCTCTCAGCATTTGTGCAAAGGCTGGGAAAACACATTAAAGATGGGACAAGTGTACTTTTCTCTGGGTGAAGGTGAGGGAGAGTAGTATCCTAAGAAATGTCCTTCAAATCTCCTACACCTGAGTGTTAGTTCACCTCATGCCTTTCATGCATTTATCCTTATGAAACTGTGCAGAGGGAAGAGGTGATATTGTCATTCAGCCTTCTGTGTGGGTGTACTTAAAATTGCACAGACATGCTCACTCCAGTGACTCCAGCTCACTTTCCTGCTTAACTTTAATGAAGGGACTTTCATAAACATCGAGGATCTGGGATATGGCAAATAATAATTTTTTTTTTAAATTAGCAACTGAAGTTATTGGCTGCTCTGTAGCTTTGCATGTCTCCCCCTGCACAAGGTAACATTTTAATCTCTGTAATTACACGGTAGGCAGCCAGCACAGGGTGCAGGGTCAGTACAGGGCACTGCAGGGTAATGATGTGGCCATTTTTGCCTGGTAAATTACAGAGTTATCTTGGGACTGAGGAAAGGAGAAGGGCAGCAACTGCTTGACTAATTGCTAGTTTAAAGTTTAATTACCCCAGGGCTGACATGCTGCCTCTGTGCTGAAAGAACAGGTCCAGAGCCTGCACATGGCTCACCCCACCGGGGCACAGGAGTGCCAGGGGAGCAGCATCAGCCCCAGAGTGCCAGCAGCAGCCCAGCCTCTGCTGTGCATCCTCCTGGATGGATGGACACATTTGGGGAGGTGAGGGTAGGAGCTCTGCTGTGGAAAACCCCCATTTCTCTCTCTTACCTATCCCCTAATCTCCCTAGGCAAAGAAATTTTCCATCCTCCTGTGAGAGTTGCTCCAGAAAGATGGTCCTGCCACTGCCCAATGCTGCTGTCCTCAGGCAGCACCTCCCTGCATTAAAGAGAATCCTTTCCTTAAAGAAATCTTTGCATTCAATTCTCTCCCTAGAGCCATGACAGTCAGATTTCATTTAGCACCAAGGGGGGAGTGATGAAATGACTTTGGTCTGCATCTGCCATCCAGCCAAGGTCAAGCCACTCCGAAGCCCCAGCACACTTGGAGATACCCTGCAGATAATCTTGCTGGCTCAAGAGAGAAAACTCCACAAGAGAAGCACAGCAGAAGACTTTGGTGGTTTTTTTTATCTAGAAGGTGGATGATAAAAAGAGTGTACAGATCAGTAACTATAAATATAGTGCTTTACAAAACTGTGAGATAAAGAAAACCCCCACCAATTAGGGTAACTCACCATGTTTGCCAGAATGTAGTGGTACCCATTCCCATTTTTTTCAAGTGAGATGATCTGCAAGATAAAAAACAAGAATAATTAGCAGAGATCAACTAAGGAAGAAGAATGTCAGTTATCTGCCCTTTCTCACTCTTATTTTTCCTTGCTGAGACTATTCAGCTGGAGCAGAAAGACACAGCAAAAGAAAAGTTCCCAATCTTATTAGAGGATGGCCGGAGCTTTCACACGTGATACCTGAGCAGCAAATCTGAAATTAGACAGGACAAGATCCCAGGAACATTGTACAGGCAGGGAGAGAAAACAACCAAACCAACCTGCTTCCTACAGGCTTGGGGAGAGAAAAAAAAAGCCTTAAAAAGATTTGTATTTCAGATACCAAAGGAACAAACGGGGAATTGGAATCCATGTGTCCAGTGAATGCAGCTGAAACTTTAGGCAAAACTAGAGAGCAATTCTGCACATCCTGCAAGCTCCAGCCCCTGCTGCAAGCACCTCTCTGGGAGAGATGGCTGGAAGTTTAGGTTATGGGTAAGATTTTGTGCACCAGTGGAGTTTCAAACTGCATCTCCAGAATGAAGCTGTTTGGGTAAGCCACAGAGGACTCCCCTGCATGTTCATTGAGATAATTTATAGATTCATGTGCATGGTGGCCCAATACACGTGCTTTGCCACTTACTCTTTTGTCCCTGACATAGCAGAGTCAGGTTTTTATTTTCTTTTATCAACACAATTGCTTACCAATCTGTAACAGCTGATTTTTTCTATGTTAGCTGGAAAAGTTTCCCTTTCTTTTTCCTTTTCTACCTGTTGCAGATTTGCCTGTGACTGGGGGGAACAGAGGCACTCATCAGATGGCCTGTGTATTTTTCTCCCTTGATTAAAAAGAGCAGAGAAAGAATACACTTAAAAGTCTCTATTATTCTTGCTGACTCCATTTTTTTCATTGAAATTCCTCTCTATTGATTTCCAGCAGCACTGTTAAATTCCTACTAGTTTACTAGAGTCAGATACCATCTGCATTTGAGCCACTCTACAAAGAGAAAGAAGAAAGTGGGAAAAAAATGCCCAGATGCCCTCAAAGCCTGTACAAACACAAGATTTGCCAGTTTCTGAGAGAACTCTGCTGTTTCCATTAGGTTTCTTGGCTGGCAAGACTACCTCTTGCTTCCATTGTCATATGAATTGATTCTGAATTGCTGCCTGCACTGCCAACAGGCACAGGCAAAATCTGCACAAGCTGCAGTGAGGACAGAAAGATCCTCACAGACAGAATGATCCCAAAACCACTGCTGTGTCAGACTCAAGCAGAAATCAGTCTACCCAGGACTTGTCTCTGGTGCCGGGCTGGCAGCAGGTACTTGAGAAGTGTCAGATGAGGGCAGACACTGATCCTCCCCATGGGACAGCACTCCCAGATTATCATGAGCAGTCATTTAGGGATTTCCAAATGGATAATAAATGAGCTGACAGTTGCTCTGTGCAACTGGTTCATCTGCCTTAGCCCTTCTCTGATGAAGTGCTCTTGTACGCATAATAAAACTCATCTGGTTCTCAGCATTAACGTGGGGGTGGCAATTAACTCCAATGAAGGCTTCATTTAGAAGCATTTCCTTACACAGCTAATGCCAGCTCCACCAGATTCCCTGCACAGGATCCCTCAGTGTGGCTTCTGCTGAGGTGCCTGGAGCTCTCAGAAAAATCCTCTGTCTACCTAAAGCTATGAAGATATACACCTCATTATGGGTGGTTTTCTGAGTATCTTCCACTGCCTGATCTAAGAAGCAAAACCAGACCAAACTTGTCCCTTTCCATCCATCAGCTGAGACTGACCTTTGCAGTAAGTCCCAGACCTTGCAGGAGGAAGGAGAATCTCTGGTGCACTGGGATGTCTAAGAATTATGATCCAATTCCCCTTTTCTCCAGTGTCAACAATAGCTGGCATTGGCTCCTTCAGCCCCAGCTCTCCTTTGTTATTTTATGAGGTGTCAGAGCCGATGAACCGGAGAGCGCTGCCATCCAGCTCTCCCTGAGCTGTTAATCTTACAGTCCATCCACCTGAATTATGAAGCTCGTTTCCTGTGTTTTACACAGTTATTTGTGATCTTAATTTATTTTAAAATGCTTGCTCAGACCTAATGTGTCCGGACAGCAGTAGCAAGCTGAGGTTATAATAGCATTTATCACTCCTCCTGACTGTGGTGAGAGGCTGTGCTGGGCTGCATGCTGATTGCTCACTTGGGCCACCTAGGTTTCATTACCCACTTCTTAATGGGTGAGTTTGACATCTATTAGAGAGAAATCCTCTCAGAGTGAAACACTGGCAGAGGAGAAATTCCAGTTACTCATTTTAATGAGAGACAAGGAAGAAACAATAGAGGGCTTTGATGGAACACAACCCACCGAGTACTTATCCCATTAAGGCTACACAGCACAACCCCAAGGCAACCTGCCCTGATCCAAGGCCTGGCTCACAAATGACAGGTATCTCGGCAAAGACAAATCAAACCCTTGAGACACGACACAGAGGAATCTCCCAGAGAGAAACCAGGTCATTTTTAACAGAGAGCACTGGCTCCTCCACAGCTGAGGGCTGTCTTGCTGGAGTCACTGGTGTTATTTGTGTTTTGTGTATGGAGGAAAAATGAAAAGCAGCAGTGTGGGTGTGAGAGGCACAGGAGCTGGACAGCCATCCCCAGCTCTCCTGCTCACCACGGAGCACAAATCACAAATCCGCTGCCACTGAGAGACAGAGATAGGCTTGTCAGGGAAGAAGATAAATGAATTGAAATGTCCTCGAGAGGCTGAGGGAGGTTTTGGAATACCTCAGACAGTCAGAGGGACAGGGCAAACAGCACAGTGACATTCCCACAGAGGCTGCTGGTGTGGTGAGCTGAGAGACCAGCCAGCAGCCCAAGTTAGAGCCCAAGTTACAGTCCCAGCTGAATTTCACATGATAATGAGATGAACACTATCTTTGAATCACTCCAGTATCTGTATACTGTGAAAAACCTGGCATCACTTTCTCACAGTGGGACAACTACCTCTGCTCTCAGAAATCCTGGTGGAATTGGAACAAAAATGTTAAAAAGGATGAAAATGGACTGCACACATCTGAAAAAGTTGTTCACAGCCCCATCCTTCACTGGAGTGTTACCTCCCAGGCACAGATGTCTGCTGGAATTGCTCTGTAATTTTTGTAGTAAAACACAGCTTTGTACATCTTCTCCCTGGGAACTGATATTTTTTATAGCATTGCAAAATAAATAATCACAGTATCTGGATTTTTGGTGCCCTTACAAATAGCTTTTCCTATATCTAGGTTTAACACTTGCTCCAGTTATGTGAAGAACTTTGAAAGAAAGCCTTATTTTCCTGCTCATATCAAGAAGACTAGGTAATACTTTACTATACAACTTAACATTCTTTTTGACAAACCAGGCTTAAAAGCCTGACACTATTAATGCTAAAAATTTGATATACTCTAAAGAAAAGTCAAATTCACTGCCTAGGTCTTGTCCAAAATGTTGTTCAGCTGCAGTAGTTCCATAGCCAGGGAGAAGATTTTACCCTCTGGAATAATCTGTTTTCTCTTTCATGAATGTGACCTTTGCTTTGAGGTTACAACCTGCTCTCTTCTTTGTTATTCCACATAACAAGGAGCACCCAGAGACATCCAGCAAGGATGGATTGTGCTCATCACTGAGCTGTGCATCTGGTGAAAGTCAGTCCCTGTCCCCTACAGGGAGCAGCTAAGTGTGAGACAGAGATGATAGGTACCTTAGATAGGGAGACCTGTGAAGCACAAGGTAAGAGTGAGCTGATTATGATGAGTAAAGCAGTGGAAATTGCCCTTTCCAAATCCTTACAGTGGTGGAAGGGTTGTAGGTGTGAGAGGGAAGGGTCTTGTGGCTGAAGTGTGGACTCAGCCCGCCCCTGGCTTGTATTTGTCTTGTCTCCACAGAAATCCATATCCAGGACAGATGTACCATAATCCTGCTGGCACAGGTGCGAGAATTTGGTGCAGCACATGGAGGCTGGAGGACCAGGAATCTGGCAGTGCCAATCCACACCTCCACCTTAACTCAAAACCTGGAGAAAGACTCAGCAGAATCAGGAGGTGCCACATCTTGTGCACGCTGCATGGAGGAATAAGCACAAAGCAAACTCACCGGGGAGCAAAGGGGTGTCAAGGGCTCAGCAAAGGAGTCAGACAGGGAGGGAGGATGGAGCAGTGGAGCTCACTCAGCACGAATTCATGAGAGCTTGCACTGTTCCTGCAGCTTTACTGTTTCCCCAGTAACCCAACAGAGAAATGCCCGTGAGCCCAGAAGCTGCAAGGCACACACCCCAGTTCCAATGAGAGCCTCAAGGAGACAAGGATCAGGCAAGAATGGGGAGAACTTCTCCAGGGAGAAACAACTCTTTTCTGCATGCAAGACCCCTTCCAGAAGGCCCACACCAGCACAACCTTGTTAAGGATGATGTTCAGCCTCTCAGACTCGCAGTCCACCACCACCAGCCTTTCCTTCTTCTTCTCCAGCTCCTGGAAGAGCACCCGGTATCCCTCCTCTGTTGTGGTCAGGATGTTGACAGCTGTCACCTGCCAGTTCTTCTCAGCTGCAGTGTCCAGCACTTTCTGCAGGACTGACAACCCTAGGGTGGGAAGAGAAGGGGGAGAGCCAGGTTTTAGTTGTGCAATGGCATCTTTCCATCCTCCTGGCAGCCTGTGTAGCTGCCTCAATCCAGGCTGAAGACAGAGTCATGAGAGTGCAGTGGAACTGCAGAGAGCAGCTAAGAGTCTAGATCTGGCCCAACCCCATCTGGGCTAGAATTAATGACTCCTGCTTTTTCTGGCCTGGAACAGACGATTCCAGGTCTGATTTTCCTTTGTAATTGGCAGAGCAGTCTCACTGATCAGGTCCTGCTGTGGGATTCAGATAAGAACTCTAATCCCCATCTTCCTGTTCCCCAAATAACTTGATTTCTCTCAGCCATAGTTTCCTTTTCATCTTTGATCTGCTTAGGCTGTGTGCTCCTAGGGTTAGGGACACCCTCATCAATCACAGCACACTGTCACACTCAGCTTGCTTCTCTCTCAGCAGCATCTCATCAGGAGACCATTACTTTTAGAAAGATGTTGCTTAAATTACATGCACAGCTTTCTAGAGAAGATGCACATAGCAATTCTCTGCAATCATGCTGGACAACCCTAAACAGCCCTGTGCTTTTGGAATATTCTGTGTGCCCATGCCTCATGACAATAGAAAGCAGGTGGGATGCTTTCATAGTTTCTCCTTGTCTCTAAAGCCCATCCTGTCCCTTCAGGGGATAATTAAAACTTTCAGGACAGAGATGTGAATCACCTTACCTCTGCCCTATCCTCCACAAATCTGCTTTGCTTGCAGCCTCCAAGCCTGGAGCTTTAAAGGCATTTGAGAGCTGGGAAAACTGAATCATGTAGCAATGAGCTCTCTAGCCCTTTTTTGGTTTGTGGTTTAGAAAGTTAGGTAACATCTTCCATTACCCCACACAGGGTTTTTGTTCTTTTACCTGGAAAACTGACATGCACCAACATGGGGAATTTGGAATTTTCCAAGCTCCAGAAGCACACATCTCATACCTGGCTGCGGGCTTAGAAGAGATCTGAGCAAGTGTCTCTTCTTGTTTCTAAACTCAGGACTCAGTGCCTTTGAGTTTGACAGCCCAGTTCAATATGGGACCTATTGAATAGAAACAATTTCTCCGTTTTGAATTCCAAACCATTTGCACATCGAGTATTTCCCTTGGGCTTGGATCTGACCCCATGAACACACACACACACCCTGGGCCAGGCTGATCCTTGTTTTAGATCAATGCTCACCTTCAGCAGAAAGTGAAATTTAGAAGAAAAACAAACAGGGCAGGCATAGGCTGACCCAGACCCACAACTTTTGTAGGTAAAGACTCCTTGTAGACCACTGTCTTTAACTGCCTGGTAACCCCTCCCAGAGAGCTGCGACTCACCCCGGTCAGCGTCGTAAATGTACACAAACTTCTGCCAGCTGTAGTGCTCGATGACGCTGATGAGGGCATCCTGCAGCTCGGGGCGCAGCTGGAGCACGAACTGGTTGGAGGTTTCCACAGGGAAGCTCGGGGTTATGAAGCAGACGTGGAGGGCCCCGCAGAAAGACGTGAGCATGTTGACGGTCCTCCTCTCATAAAAGCCAAAGATGGCATAGACGCCCTTGGAGAACTGTGAGCAGACTGCAGGAGCAGAGGGGAAGGTGGTGAGGGCAGAAAATAGAGGAGGTTTCTCAGCAATGTCAGCAAAATAAAACTTTTCCCCGAGATAAGCTGCAAGGTCTCTCTGGACTGGGTAATTTTCCCCCAGGTGGGTGGGTGAAGGCAACCTGTGAAGAACAGGGCTTGTGGCCATGGAGTGCCCTGCCCTTCATCTCCACAGACCTGCTTTACTTTTGATAGGAAGAAATGACTGAAAATAATGAAATTGGTGTCCCTAGGGCTCTGCTGAAGATTTTGCTGCTCTGGAGTAAAATGAGTTATCTGAACATGGGAACCCCTTGGCAGAAAGAGGCTACTGAACCTTGGATACATTCAGGGAGCAGAAGGAAAGCCTTTGCACAGCACTACAGCCCTTTGTGGCCAACAGCTCCAGAGGGAAGCCATAGTTTTGACCTCAGCAGCTGAGGAAACCACTCTGAGAGAGCATTTCAGCAAAGGTTCACCAAAGTACAACACAGCCACAGCACAGCTCCAGGGGGATCTGTCCTGGGGCATGAGCTGCTGGATCTGAGTCAGAGCCTCTGACACTGGGAGTGTGTTGGTACTTGGGAACACAATTTTTTGGCAATTTCTGGTTTCCTCACAAAGCCATGGAGGCAGGCTGTGAGCCCATGGAGGTATCAGCAGTGTCTGGGGAGGGCTCCACCAGGAGGGCTCGCTGGGCTCCCTGGCAGGTGTCTGTCTGTCCTGTCAGCCCCTGTGCTGTGCAGGGAGGGCTCCCTGGGGTTGGAGCCCTTCTCTGCAGAGCACTTAATGAGCTCGTGGGAGCTGCTGGGAAAATGCCTGAGGATCTCAGCGAGACAGAGAGAGTTCACACTTTGGGTTGTAAAACTTGGCCCCTGAGACAGTCAGACTCTTTCAATATCACCCCTGTTTATGGCACATCCCAAGTTACCATCAATAAATCTCCGAGCTGGAGGTGGTGGCAGTGACAGCACTTTTCCTGTGTCAGAACTCTTGGCACCAGTGTTTCCTCCTCTTGTCACTCTGACTCTGAAGACCTTTGGCTGTGACATTTATACTGACTCAACACTTCACACATCACTCGCCCGCTCTCCCAGCGCGAGTGCGGCTGAGGAGTTGGATGTGACATTCTGGGGTCCCCTGGCAAGTGCTCTGCACTGCTCGGGAATCCCCTGACCTGATTTCTGCTGCTGACTGCCAGTACCCAACCTTCTGCACGTGTGGCTGGAGACAGCCTCCTAAGCATGAGCTTCTTGCACCTTTAGCTGGGATCCATGCGCGCTCTGTCCCTCCAGCAGGGACACAAAGTCAATTCTGGCTGGCTCAGAGCCATGCTGGAAAAGATTGTCATGTTCCTCACTTCGCTACTGCCAGCACCAAACATTCAGAGAGAAGAGCAAGAAATCCTGCTTCCCACTGTGCAAAGCAAGTCCCTGCTCCTGTCTCACCCCTGAAACAAAGCAGCCAGGCTTCGTGGTGGTGCTGAGAGCTGGGAATGGAATCTCACAAGACTGAAGAAATTTTTTCTTTTGTCTTGGATCTGAGCCCAGGTTTTGGGCATCCCAGTCCTGCAGTTTGTTCGCAGAGTTGCTCATCCTCTTTTCACTGATTAGCACCTGTGATCTCAGCATTTTCCTCCCACAAGGGAATTTGCCATTCTGCAGGGCAGGGACGCCTCAGAAAGCCCGAACTGAGACGGAAATAACCCCCTCTTCTCTTTATTTTCACAGCAGTGCCTCTCTTTGCAATCAGCAATTGTGTCTGTATCAGCTGGAGTCACTGCCCTCATCATGAGACTGACACATTCAGGAAGAAAAGCAGCAGATCCAGATGGAAATAGTCTGAGCAGCATTTCCATGTGACTGGAGCAGTGGGTCTAATGAGGGGTGCGAGGTACCATATGTGAGAGATCAGAAGGTGATCTCCAGAGACACGGGCTTCAGCCTCACTGAATGATTAAAGAGACATTTTCGGGACAGCTGAACAATCCAGTACAATTAATAATCCAGACAATAAACTTGGCTGGCTTGGTTTGTTTTGTTTTTGTCAAGGCATGTCTTCCTCAGATTTCTTCTCTGTTCAAAAGGAATCTATCATATTTTATTTTTTTCTTTAACTTTGTGGCTCAGTCACGCTCAGGCATCCCTCCTACACTGTTCTGAGACATCATCAGTGCCAGCATTTGAAACAGATTGTACCAATGACAACTGGGAAAGTGAACACTTTTTATCATTAGTAAGTTTGGAAAGAACCCTCACTTGCTTTGTACTTGCAGGATAAGAGAGGCCATGGACAAGGCAGATAATTTGAAAAAAAAAAAAAAAAGCTTGCCAAGAGTTATCTCCTAAAGAAAAACAAAGAAACTCTTGTGTCAGTAAATCTGGAAAAATGAAGAGTGAGAGCTGTAGCCACCTTTCTAGGACTGAACTTGGCATAATGTAAAAGCAGTGGCTGCAAAATTATGTAAATCTCAGGGCTATTTTAAATTACAGATGCTCCAAATGAATTTACACAGCAAAGCTAAAAAGAAATTACTTGCTTGTTATTTAATACACTAAGAGCTTGCTGGAACTTCTTTACATTTCCTTTAATCATTTTATGAAGCAAATTTGTTAATTATTCTGTTCTCATTTGATTGCTGTGCAACTTCCTAATAATCTACTACTAAGAATTGTAAACCTTAAGTAGAGGAAGCAAATATTTTAAGTTCTCTTTGTTTTTTGTAATGATGAGCAGTCACTAGCCTCTGACTGATGGATTTCTAAAAAGATTAAGAAACATAAAAGGGATGAAGATTGTGCTGGAATGCAAGATCCAAGAAGTTGAGCTCTTCTGGTCAATTGGCTGGTGACAGCATCACCCTTTCCAAGCCTTGTGCTGCTCTCTCTGAGCAGCTGGCTGGCCCCAGCCCAGCTTTTCCTGCAGAGAAGAGCTGCAGTCAGCCTGGAGACCAGCTCCAGCAGCTGAATTTGGACAGTTCCACCTCAAGCTCCTTCCTGCAGGCAGGAATCTGGGTGAAATCCAACAGCATAAATGTTTGCCTATCCCAGGATGTGAGCACAAGTGAGGAGGGCTTGCTTGGATGCAAATGCAGACATCTGTGGTTGTTTGCATGTGCTGTTGGTGGCCTCTGGGCTGCAGGGTGGGAAAGGACAGAGAACTTCAGTTCTGGGCTATACCTGACCTTGTATCTTACATTGAATTTGTAATTTATTACAGAAGAATTTCCCTCTAAAGTAGCCCTTGGAAAATATAGTCCATAATTATTGATAACCCTGGCAACTACTGCTGTGCTCTCCCTGGTCACTCTTGTTTAATTGATCAGTTTGGGATTTGTGGCTGAGGCATTCCCAGTGTGTGCTGCACCAGGCCCCATGGTGCATATCCCTCCTTCTCCGGGCACAGGATTTCTCCCTGAGATCTCCAGTGCTGTTCAGCAAGGAAAATTAGGTAAAAGCAGAGGCATTAACAAGATTGTCCCCTGGTTATGCTGAAGAGATGATCCAGTGACAACCAGCTGCTCTCTCACCTGCGGCAGCCAGGTGAGGTGAGAGCTCATCTGCCTGCCCTAAAAACTTTTCTGCAGAGTGCCTGTGGCAGCCAGGTGAGGTGAGAGCTCATCTGCCTGCCCTAAAAACTTTTCTAACTTACAGAAAAAGTCCAAATAGATTGTAAATTAGTTAAAGAGTGACTGACGTGGTAGAACAAGCAGGGAGGCTGCCCCTCTCCCCCTGTGGAATGGTAGCCATCAGGGACCCGATGTGTCCTTGAATTCAGATGAGGAAAAAGGCATCTGTGATTCATTCACTTGGAATCCACAGACTCCAGGATTTCTAATCTTTGCAGTGTTTCTCAAAAGCTCTCTTTTCATATGGAAATATTCAAGGTAAAGAATGTACATCAGAGAGAAACACTCATTTTACTGAAAGCACACACAGTAGAGGACACTTATTTGGGAGCTGAAAGAGGCAGCTCTGGCCACCTTTGCAGATGCTTCTGAGAAAGAGAAAAATACATCAGTAAATACATCAACACTCACAACTTTAAATTGCACATTTTCTCTGTGGGAGAGGAAAGCAAAAGAGTTTTGAGTCTGTAAAAATTCGTGCTAGAATTTTTATTTGAGCTGCAGCTCTTAACCAGAGGGATCAGATGAACAAGATTGATTTCTGCATTCGGACAGTCAGAGGTATTTTACAAGTGGGTGTTTGACCTGTTCCACGTTGTTGAGGGTGAAAGGCAGATGTCAGATAATCTCTTTCAGGTTTTGGTGAAAGAAGATAACCCAAAAAGTTTCTCTCAGAAACCATCACCACAAAAGGGCTGAAATAGTCTTAGGATTTGAGGCAGGAGGAAGGGCAAACGGCTGCACAGAAGGATGGAAATGAGGATTTGGTCTCCAGCAGTGAAAACTGTGCATTCTGCTGAGAATCTGCAAACAAGACTGCAAAAAGGGAACTGCTCTCCAGAGACACAGCTGGGGAGGAAGCCTGGTAGGAGAACCTGGCAACTGCTCATCTGCCATCTCCTTTAGAAGCAGAATTTTCACCATTTCACTGAGTTTAAGACTAGAAAGGGACATTAGATCATTTCTACTGACTTGTTGTATCTCATGGACTATTAAGTTTCACCCAGCTACCCCTGGAGGGAGCCAATAATATGGCTTAGTTTACTCTTAGGAGATTCAGCTGCTGCATGTGCCTCTGTCAGAGAACAGAAGTAGCAGAGACAGTGCTAATACCCAAAGCCACAAGAGCGGTAAAAAACCTGATTAAATGAAATATCCCCAGATGTTCCTCACAAATGACTCATGTTCTCACTTGCAAAAGGGGATAGGCAGCCCAGATGTTCCCTGCCAGATCTCAGAGGCCTTCCTGACCCTGGAGAATGTCATGGCATCTAGGAGGGAATACACTGCATCTTCTCCAGGAAAGCTGTTCCTATGATACTGAGCTGCGCATGTGACCAAATTATTCCCCACAGCCCAAACAAAAAAA